CTTTTGACCTGGCGCGCCCCGCACGCCGCCGCCACCTGTGGCCTCCGGGTCCTAGAGCCTGCCCCGCAGGGCACGTCCGCAGCCCCGCAGGGCACGTCCGCGGGTTCGCCCTGACCCCGGGCCGCCGTGCCCTGAGCTCTCCGCCCGCCTCTGACCCCGCGGGCCCTCCGCCTCGGGGCTGAGAGTGCGGGGACGGACCTCCTCGTCACAGCCCCCAACGAATCCCCGAGCGCTGCTCAGGACTAAGGATGAGCTCGGGTGTGTTTGCACCTCCACGTACCCGAACCTGCCGGGAAGCTGACAGCGCATAGCACTAATCACAGGTACTGAGACATTTTCCCGGTCCGCAGCTGCAGAGATCGGGAAATGTCTCAGTACCTGTGATTGGCGCTGTGCGCTGTGAGCTTCCTGGCGGGCTCGGGCACGTGGAGCTGTGAACACGCCTGAGCTCATCCTTAGACTCTTCACCACACACAGCCACAAAGGCAAGAGAATTCTTGTTGGGCAGTGTATTAGTGCTCGGACAAACACACTTAGACCAAAACCTCTGGCACTGCGCTCACATGATCCCTTCCCCTTCTGGTCAATTTCAAAAAATGGCGACTGTAAATAAGAGAAGGAAAGTTGACAGTGAGGGCCGCCACTTCCAGGAGAGGTGAAAAGTGGAATATTTCTTCACTGAAATAGAGAATCACTGTGTTTGTCTGATATGCCAAGAGACTGTGGCTGTTTATAAGGAATTTAATGTCAAGAGACACTACCAGTCGAGACATAGCACATACGACAAGCTAACAGGGCGCGACTGCAGTGAAAAGTTGAAGCAACTTGAAGCTGTTTTAATGTCACAACAGCGATTTTTCACAAGAGCCCATGAGTCAAATGAAAATGCCACAAGGGCAAGCTATGAGGTGGGAACGTTAATTGCTAAAAATTGCAAATCTTTTGCTGAGAGTAACTTTATCAAAGAATGCGTTCTGAAAATGGTTGAGAATATCTGTCCCGAGAAGAAGCAAGAGTTTGCCAACATTTGCCTGGCTCGTAACACTGTAGCACGGAGAATTGAAGAGAGTTCATTAGATATTAAGAGACAGTTGACTTCCAAAGGAGTGGATTTTAACTTCTTTTCAATAGCCTGTGATGAAAGCACGGACCTGACACAGCTCAGTTGCTGATTTTTATGAGGGGTGGACAACGAAATGAATGTGACTGAAGAGCTACTTGACCTCCAGAGCCTTACGGACCAAACAAGAGGAAAAGATTTGTTTCTGTTAGTTCCGCCATAGATGACATGAAACTGCCTTGGAACAAAGTTACTAGGATTATTACTGATGGGGCACCTGCCATGGCTGGTGAACAAAGTGGATTATCAACCCTAATCTGTAACAAGGTGATCGAAGGAGGCAAAGCTATTAAACTCCATTGTATCATTCATCAACAAGTTCTCTGTGCTAAACATCTCAAATATGATCATGTTATGAAACCGGTGCTAAAGACTATTAATTTTATCCGCTCTAAAGCCCTGTGCCACCACGTTTAAACAGTTTCTACTGGCCATGCAGGCTGAATACAAAGATGTTTTATATCACAACGATGTAAGATGGCTCAGTCGGGGGTCTGCACTGCGTTTCTACTCTCAGAAAGGAAATCGGAGAATTCTTGGAAACAAAGGGACAACCAATGTGAGAACTATCTGATCCTATTTGGCTGGCTGATTAGGGGTTTCTAGTTGACATAACAAAGCATCTGAATGTACTGAACACGAGTCTTCAGGGGAAAGATGCAGCGGTGAACCAGCTTTATTCACACCTCAAAGCCTTTGGAACAAAGCTTCAACTTTTCATAAGGCAGTCACACAGACCAATACCATACATTTTTCAGCACTGCAGGAAATAATGAACAGTTTTCCACAGGACAATATCAGTGTACAAACGAGCAGGTATGCAGCAGACATCGCATCACTGGCTGGGGAGTTTAAACAGCGCTTTCAGGATTTTGCAGCTATTGAAAAGGAGATCAGCCTTTTCTCCTCTCCATTCTCTGTTGACCCCGCTGATGCTCCAGATCAGCTGCAGCTCATTGAGCTGCATTGTGACAGCGAGTTACACAGTCATCACCAACAGTTCTCTCGTGAGACTAGTAAAAAAAAAAAAAAAAGTGTAATTTCTAAGATATCCACAGCAGATTTTATCAATGGCTGTCAGATGTGGTTCTCCCTCTCCTGCATCTTCCAAGCTCAATTAAAAGCATTTCCCCTTAGGGCAGGCATGTCCAAAGTTCGGCCCGTGGGCCAATTGCGGCCCGTGTTCCGGTTTAATACGGCGCCACAGGTAATTTGGCAATATCTATCTTTTATGGCCCCCAACGAATCCATATGTATTGAGATGAATACATTGTAAAATCTCAGTTAATGTCAGTTGGTCTAAATCAGTTATAAATATATTTGGACACAACATGTATACTTGGTGTTATGTTCCTGTTCATATTTTTTGAACTTAAAAGTTGACAGACAACCTTTATTACCAATAATATGTAATGTACTTTACAATGTTCCTGACATTTCAGCTTCCTGGATTTTTTTTCCATCAGGCCTTCAGATATGAAAGGCAGAGTGATTTAACACCTGTTTAGATTTATCATCCATGTGACAAAATGAAAAGTATGCCATTTGCAATAAACTTTGCATAAAATAGTTGATTTGCATTTAATTTTAATGGTTCAAAGAATGTCAGGCAAAATGGTCAGCCCTCACCCATGTTCACTTCTTCAAATCTGGCCCTCTTTGAAAAAAGTTTGGACACCCCTGCTCTACATAGTCATGCATGCACTCAATTTCACCTGACTTTCCTAGTTTCACTGGGCTTAAAGTATTTAGAAAAATTGCCTGATTTTAATTTTAGTTTCAATTATCCAAACCAAATAAATGTTTGGCAGTGAACATTTTACTATCTGTATCTTCTCAGGTTGAGAAGAACCTTCCTCTGGAATGTTTACACAAAAAGCAATACTTAAAAGTACTGAATATTTGTAAGTGAAAAAGTGCCAGTACTCCAGGCTCAAAGAAGTTGAGCCAAAAAATGTGCCACCCAGGGGCTGAAATGCAGTCATGGTTCCTTTAAGAACCAGGCATCCCAGGCAGGTTTCTATCAAGCCACCTCTAGAAACAAGTGCCAATATGCCCTTCTGGGGCAGGCACTGTTAAAAAAAAAAAGCACACATTCATGATGCATGGCACTAGTCAATGTGCAGAAGGGTGACAGAATCTGGCTGCTGCTGAATACTGTTATGCTTTATAAATTACATAGAAATTTAGGCCCTGAGCCTTGTTACCTATTAAAAGCTGGACCAGGTGATTAGATCAGTAATTATACTTCAGGTTAAGCTTTTACATATCTGGAATTCTATATTTTCTTATGAAGGATACCTGAACAGTTTTTGCCTTTAATATCCTTTTCACTGTGAAAAGTTGAGAAACTTTGTCAGAAGGGCCTCCATTCACCTCCTAAGAATCTAAGCAGTGTCCTGTTATAGGATTTTTGCAATTAAACTTCTCACCTAGGTGATCTGCTATATTATTCCACTTGAAAAATGTATATTCCAATCATTAACTTACTCTTGCCCACTAAATTTAGTGCCTAACCTAATATGAATGATGTGCAGAGGAAGATTAGGTCTGTTCTGTTCTTTGCTTTAAGCGAGGCAAATAATGCAAGTTTCAGGAATGCTAACAGTATTTCCCCAAATGGAAGAGTCAGAGTCAAAGCAGACAGGATAAAAAAGGTACACATTAAGGTACAGCAGACTGGTAACAACTGTTTAAATAGTTTCTTTACAAAGCCACAAGTTACTAAAAGTTAAAGTTTATGTGCATGTTTGATTAGAGTAAAATAGTTATCTACGCTCTATTTTAACAAAATTGCATGCTTTTCCTAGAGAATGGCAGAAATGTATGCAAGGATTTGAATTTTGTTTTCTTAATCTTCTGTTTCTAGGCATTACTTCCACCAGATGTTAAACTGATTCATCTAGTAAATCTGCATCATTTCTTATGGATTCCACATGCAGTTTCCATGATACAAGACAGATTTGATTTCATTAGAGTGGAGTCTTTACTTGGTATCTGAGTATCTTCAGGTGTCATACTTTCTTCCAGTGATACCATCCATACTTGTCAGGGGATACAAAAATTCCCCCCTCCTCACTAAAAAGGGAAAACAAACCATCTTACATGAGAAACTGAAACCGCAAATGAAATAGAATAAACCCCAGTAAACTACAATTTCATTCATATTTGTATACATTCTCTGGTCCACACATTTAAGTTATTACACTGTTTGGGTTTCTTATCAGCCCAAACAGTAGGCCTGCTGATATTTCAGAATGATCTCTACAGATTAGAGGAACAGCATTCATTAGTTCCAAGGCTCATTAAGGATACTGCCACATGAAGGGTTTTAGGAAGAGAAGAGATCTCTTTCCAATTCAAGGTAAGTTGTGGAAAAACAGTAAATTACGATACACTAGGCAAGTCAAGTCAAATTAAGTTAAAATACTGTCACAGCTCTAGTGTTAAAGCATTATGAATCACAGTTGTCTAATCTCAGAAGCCAGATCCGTATTGAGTTTTTCATCAAGGAATCAGGTTCGGGATAGCATCATCACTGATCAGACAAGAATTACTCATACTTCAATCAACTTTTAGAATACATACCTTCTAATGCTGTCGGCCTTCAGAGATGTCTGCAATAAGACAAGTTACACAGAAATTAAATACCACCAAGGGTTAACATGTTTATTAGTTTAGAGATGTGTCTACTTAGAGAAACTGTGTGTATGAGCTTTCCCACTGTGCTATCTGCCCAGATGCACTTTTAACACATACAAGTTCACAGCACAGGAAGTTAGGATTATGTAATTGTGTAAACTTGGGCCAAAATCATCATCATCATCATCATCATCATCATCATGCTGCCTCTTAACATCTTGACTTTATATCCACAAAGACCCAATCTCATTTCCATTGTGATGACATTTTAGGACTGTATTTGCCCTACGATTAGAAACATCAAAAAAACCAAACAGTAGTACAGATCTGGTACAGAATTGCAGATTTAGAAATATTTTATCCAACATCCAAACTTCTAGACTAAGTAGAGAAGTTGAATCACTAAACTCTCAAATACCACTTAGACTAGGATTTTAAAAAGTCTCTTTTCTTCACTACTGGGGGTGTTCTGAGAAAAGTAGGGATCAAATCCAATTCTTCCCAGGTTTGCTAAAAGAATCCTACAATCCATAAAAGCTTTGGCTTATTGGTTTTGTGTCAACTTCACACACACATTCCCTTCCTTGCTGTCTCTGCATTGGGGCAGGGAGGGGGGAGGAGAGGGGCGACCACTGCAAAGCAGCCTCTTTCTGCAGTGAGCAGCCTCCATCTACAGGGAGTTTGGATCCACCACAGACAGGGGCTCCTGCCACCCTAGGAGTGGGGCTTGAGCACACTGGCTGCTGGCCCTGCCCCCCACGGATATAGAAGTCAAGTAGCCAATAAAAATTTATGCAGTTACTCAAGTATTCAGTTACCCGACATTCAATATTCCCTAGTGCTAACATACCCTTTAAATGTCCAAGTAGTGCACCACAAAGCAGAGTTGCAACTAAGTACATTGTTCTGAACTACAGTGGTCTCATCTCAGAAGCCAGATCCGTATAAAATTTCTCGTCATTAAGTCAGGTTCGGGATAGTTTCATCACTGATAGACCACTAAAATCCAGAAACATTGGTATACTGGAATACACATATTCCTTTTGGAACTAAAATGCAAAATTAAATAGTATTGTAGAATGAAGTTTTGTAAACAAGGTGTATGCCTTGAATAGTGCTCTTTAGCCATTTGGACCAGACCCCTTTACCTAGAAGGTATTGCAATTTAATTTAAGGCAATTGAAAAATTGCAAGTATACCTGTATTAGTACCAGAGTTGCAAGCAGATGTAGCTCTCAACTGTGTTGTCAGTTATTCATTATTCGCTGGATATTTGCTAGAGAGTCACACTAGAAATAAGAATAAAGTAACATTTTAAGTGTTACTAACAAATATCAAGTAATACAGCATTTTGAAAGCAGCCACAATACAACCGCTCCCAGAGTTGAATGGTCAAGTTACAACTGTTTGCATTTATGACCAAAGCTCCCATGGAGCAGTCGTAAAGGCAGTCCCCAAGTTACGAACGCTACCCGCACTTACTAACAGCACGGTCATGTGCAACTCAATGCGGTCCGAGTTACAAACAGATCGAGTTACGGCCAAGTGTTTGGTTCATAACCCTGAGAGAGGCTGTAATTAACTTCCGCTTCCTGAAAATGATTGTGGTTCACTATTTCCAAGGACTTAAAAGCAATTTCCTCTCAACTATTTAGCTAAATATGAATCCAATCCAATTAACACATTAAAGCCTAGATTCTTTTGCTAATCCACTTATCCCCATCTTAGTATTTATTCCTCCCATTTGATCAGTCACAAAGCAAACATACTTGTGTCTCGAATATTCAGGAACATCCACAATTGTACATCATATACTCTTCTAGAGCTGCTGTTTTCATGAAGGACTGGAGATTAAAAAATAGCAAATTCGAATTTTAATATAGGGATGCCATAAGACTGTTAGAACAAGTACCATAAAACTGAACTTCCCCAAATAATTCATAACTGAAGTCACAAAGCTTCTGCTGTATAAACTGTAATAGTTTATATCTAAAAAAGGTGATGCCTGAGCATCTATTAAGCTAACCTTAATTATGTGATGTGGGACTTCTGAAAAGCCAACACATACAAGACATGCACTCAGATCCAAATCCTACAAACACTTATGCATATAAATAACTAAAGGTGCATACACACAGGAAGGCTTAACTCAAAGTTGTGTAGCTTATTTAGAAACTGGGAGTGTCTATACCACACTTATTTAAAAATAGAGCACCCTTCCCCTGACTTTGCCTTACTCATACAATGAAGAGCGAGTAAGAAGTCCTCAACTTGACAGTATTTTGAAACGTCAAAGTAACTGCATGCTATGTAGACCTGGACTAAATTATTTCGAAATAATGTTGCTGAGTAGATATTCCCTTAGTTTCTCACATGCTCATAATTAAAGCCTTAATCCTTCAAGTACCACAGGTAACAGCTACCTAGCTTAAGCTTAACATGGTTAATTTACATATCCCCAATGGCATGTCTAATACCACAGCAGAGCTGCAAAGACCTCTGTAGTTCAGACAATTAGTACAACAAACATTTCCCAGTTCTGTAATTGAGTCCATTCCCTGAAAAGCAGCAACCAACTCAATACAAGAATCCTTATGTCAACCTGTCTACAGTGGGGGGCTTGCTCAACCTAGCTACAATGCCTAAACAGAGGAATTTTTCACCACCCTGAGCAGTGTGGCAAGTTGGATCTAAGCTTCAGCTGTAAGACAGGTCTAAAGCCAAGCAGAACAGTGCCAAGACAAACAGGTGCTCCAAAGTCCAGAATATAGGATATCGTGTTGGTGACAGTGTAACCCACAAATAGTGTGGTTCACTATCCCATGTAGTGGCACTTAAACCACTTACAGCAAGGGATAAGAACAAGGAAGTTCTACAGCCTAAGCTGAGAGTCAGCTGGCTTTATAACTCAAGTGTAGAGCAGTGGCCACCAATTAGTAGATCAGGATCTACTGAAGTGGTCCCCAATGCGGTGTCCACGGGCACCATGGCACTGGTTGGGTCATTTCTGTGCGCCCACTGAGTGATTGGGGCCAGCCCCACCCCCCCAGCGCACAGCACAGACGGCACCAGCCCCATGGCGATGCCAGCTCTTGGCTTGCAGCATAGGAGCAGCGCCAGCCCCGGGAGTGCAGCACATGGGTGGCACCAGCACTGGGCACGCAGTGTATGGGAGGCCCTGCCCTCTGCCCCGGGCGCATGTGCAGCCCCAAAATGTTGGATCTACTGTTAGATTTTGAGACCCTGACAGGTGATCCTGACTGGTTTGGCCAGGAAGCTATCAAGCACTGGCACTCCAGTTGCCCCTCCACATACTGTCATGCTGCTCCTGCCCTCTGCCTTGGAACAGTCCCACTGGGAGCCTCCAGCTTGCTGTGCAGAGTGTGAGAGTGAGAAGAGGGGCCTGATATCAGGGTGCCCCTCTTTCCCCAACTTCTGTACCCTATCTCCACAGATCGACAATGAAGGAGGGAGCTTGGCAATGCAAGTCTGTCTCACGTACACCATGTTTGTCATTCACAACACACGCTGTTCCTCACTCATCTCCCAACCCAACATACATGGATTTACTTTTACTACTACTGCTCCTGAACTGGTTGGCATGTCCCTGTAGCCCCTGAGAAAGGCAGAGCAGGGTCTACATATGCTGTCCTTGCCTGCAGACACCACTTCTGCAGCTCCCATTGATCAATAAAAGGAACTGTGGCAAATAGGCTCAGTGCGTGTATAAGGGGGAACACATGAAGCCATTGCTGTACATGCCAACTGCTTTCAGGAGTGGTGCAAGGCTAGGGCAGGAGTAAGCCTGCCTTAACCCCACCACCCAGAAATAGTCAACTACAGTGCCCAGCCAATGCCTGCTTCCTGAATCCCTGTATCTCATATACCCCACCCTCCTGCACCCAAACTCCTTTCCAAAGCTTGCACTCTGAAACCGCTCCTGAACCCCAATCCCCCATCCTCTCCCACACTCCAAACCCATTGGCTCAACACCAGAGCCTGCTCCCCATCCCCACTTGGTGAAAGTAAGGGTATGTGTACACTAACTCTAGTTCAAGCTAGGTAGGGTAATTAGGGCAAGTGGAGTTGCAACTGAAGCCCCAGATTTAAAAACCCCGGGCTTCATTTGCATGTTCCCAGGTGCTGCCATTTTTAAATCCCCCCTTAGTCCAAACTCTGAGCCCACAGCTACACAGAGTGCACTCCACAAGGAATAACCGTCGTTCGAATTAGGATCTTTAATTCGAACTACCTACTCTGTGCCATGTGTAGCCGCAGGCACGGAGTTCGGACTAAGGGGGGGGGGGGGGGGGGGAAGTGGCAGCGCCTGGGAACATGCAAATGAAGCCCGGGATATTTAAATCCCGGGCTTCATTTGCAACTCTGCCTGCCCTAATTACCCTACCTAGCTCGAACAAGCGAGTGTAGACATACCATAAGCGAGGATGGGAGAAAAAGGAATACGGAGTGAGCAGGATGATGCCTCAGAGCAGGGGCACAAAAGTTTGAGGTAGATCTTACATTGCACTTAAATTGAAAAGATTATCTTGTGGTTAAAGTTGGAGCCTATTGCAATAGAGGCCCCTACACTAAGTTCCACAGGTCCCAGGTTCAAATCCGCCAGTGATGGTTACAAGAGCACCAGAAAAAGTACTTTCATCTATTGAGAACAAGTAAATAGAAGCAGTAAGATATCAGAGCTGAAAAATGGAAGACCATGTGGCCTGAACTAGCTAACTGTAATGCTTTTACTGAGTAGGGCTGATGGAAAATAGATACAGAAAATTAGAGTACAGTAAAACTCCAGTGGTCCAGCACCATCTGGAACCCAGAAGTGCTCCGGGCAGCCGGACAATTGGAGCTGCTCTGCCCCTGGCTTCCCTGATTCAGCCACTGGTCAGTTTCAGCAGCAGCTGACTTGGATACCTGGGGCAGAGCAGCATCCCAGCTGCTCTGACCAAGACATTCCCCCCCCTCCACCCCAGTCCCCTCAAAGCCCCCCCCTCCAGCATATCTGATAATCCAGCACCCCCTGAGTCCTAAAGGTGCCAGATTATTTATTGGAAGTTTCTGTAATTGACTATGGCACATGTTCTATGATGTAATTAATTTCAAATAGATTAAGGCATGCAGAGTGTTATAGGAAACGGACGCATGTTGGATTTTTCAAATCCTGACCCCCCAGTCCCCTCAAAGCCCCCCCCTCCAGCATATCTGATAATCCAGCACCCCCTGAGTCCTAAAGGTGCCAGATTATTTATTGGAAGTTTCTGTAATTGACTATGGCACATGTTCTATGATGTAATTAATTTCAAATAGATTAAGGCATGCAGAGTGTTATAGGAAACGGACGCATGTTGGATTTTTCAAATCCTGACCAACCCCAAAAACACATGGAACTTTCCAGCCCAAATTCAAAACATTCACCTTAGTTTTTCTGCACAACTTCCAGAATATCACTACAGAGTTTATATCCATAGTTCCTAGAACAAATAAGATTACGACAGAAGGAGTTAAAATATGAAGATCATGAATAGCTTTCATACCCATCAAGGAAATGTCTACAACTGCAGCTTCCCAAGGAAAAAATGTTGGGAGGACTTGGCACTATTGGGCTACTTCACAAAATAAAGAACCAAACCAGTGGGCACTAGTGTTCCATTCATCTAAAAAAGTGGGTTATGCCCAAGAAAGCTCATACTACCTATATTTTAGTGGTCTCTAAAGTGCTACAGAACATTTCATTTTTTAAAATTATCAAAACAGATAATTTGGTTGAATCTGAAAAAATTAATATGCTTTGTTCAGGATCTGAATTTCCTTAGGATCACTGGTTCAGGTTATTGCCTAGAAGAGTTGGACCTTTATGTGTTCATATTAAGTTCTCTTGGATGTAATCTCAAGTCACTAAAGATTAATTTGTAATATTTCCCAGCTGCTGTGTCCGCCACTAAGTTTACACGGGGTGGGAGTGACGCCTCTGCAAATGCCCTAACAGAGGATTTAAACGTGAAATACTTCAACCACCACGAGAAGTAGGGATGAAGGCGATCCGCGCAGCGCCCATTCACAGCCGCGGAGCCATGCTTCAAGCCTCCCCGCACCCGCACATCCCGGCGTGCATTGCGACACGAGGCGGCGGCGGCGGCTCAGAGGAGCGATGCATCCTGGGACTTGGAGTCCTTGCGTCCCCCATCCGGCCACCGCCATGAGTCACACAACCCGGCCCTGCAGCTGCGGCAGGCCCGCGACCAACGCTCTACCCCCCCCCGGGAACGCAGCACAGCCTCCGAGGAAGGCCTGAAACGAGGTGCGGTTCGCCCGACAGCAGTGACCCAGCCAAGTCAAGCCAAGGCTCCTCCCCGACCGGACGGGACGGGACCGCACCGACCACCCCGAACTCACCAGCCCCTTACCAATCAGCTCCGAATCTCCGCAGGAAAAGAAAGAGACCAGCCCACGAAGATCCTTATATAGCAGCTGCCTAAGCCAGAACGAGGCCGACTCCCCCTCCCCGCCCATTGGGCAGAGCGCGCTGGGGCGGAGTTTTGTGCGGGAGGGTTCGAGTCCCGTCACGTCATTGTGCAGCGGAGGCCACGCCTCTCGCTTCCCGGGCGCGCGCGTCACAGCGGCGCGAGGGAGGGTTTAGCTTAGAGAGCGCGACAGGTGGCGCGCGCAGAGTGGGTGGTTCCAGTGCCTAGCAGTCCAGAGCTTGGCGTGGTTCGGTCTGCAGCCGTAGAGACGAGTGCTGTGTTGTGCCACAACGTGTCCTTCCTAGAAGCTGGGCTCATAAAAGCTCCCACTGCCTGACCTCCACCAACTTCCAACTCTCAAAATTAAAACATGCAAGAGAAAAATATCTTGTTAAATAGAAACTAATTTGGGCGTTGTCTAATTCAGGGGGGGTGAGGAACCTTTTTTGGGTCGGGGCTACTGACCCACAAAAAAAAAATAATCTGGGCTGCATACAAGTGAGAAGCCTTGACTAGGAATTAGAAAGACACTCCTCACATTCCCTTCAAGCACCAGAGCAGTGGAAGGGGCAGACTTTGTGTGCTCTAGCCCTGCAAGTGGGTGGCAGGGGAGCTGGAACACCCATGTGGGTTCTCCAATAACTAGACTCAAGGAGCAGATCCAGGCAAGCCAGGGGCCACATCTGGCCCCTGGACCTGAGGTTCCCCATGCCTGGTCTAATTAATACTCATCTTACAAGGGTCAGAGTGGTTTGTCAGGGCCGTCAATGGGGAAACAAGCAGGTGCAAGGTAGGGATGTTAAATATTGGTTAATTGAATAGTTGAGTAACCTCATGAATTCTTATTGGTTAAATGACTATTCTATAATACCAGGGGGCAGGGTGGGCAGCCAGTGTTCTCCAGCCCCACTCCCGAGGGCTTCCCTGCCACTCCACACTCAGTTCCGACTCGTGCCAGGTCAAGGAGCTCAAATCTCCCCCAGACAGAGGCTGCTGCCGCCCTATGCTACTGCCTTTGTATCAGAGGCAGCAGCACAGGATGCCAGGTGAGAACTGGTCTGTGAGTTTAAAAACCAGCTCCCCTTGCGGACCAGCTCCCTGTTGCCCTGTGCTGGCTCTGATACAAAGGCAGCAGCATAGGGTGGCAGCATCCCGTGTCGGGGGCGGGATTTCTGAGCTCCCAGACCTGGTATGAGCCAGAACTGAGCTGGACTGCCTGCCTGCCCAGCTCCTAATACACTTTAAATGTAGAGTTGCAGTGGTGGGCTTGGAACCATCACAAGCCAGGACTGTTATAAGCCGGGCTGTTGGCCAGTTTGCTAAAAAATTTACTGGTGGGAGGATGGGGAGGGTGTATGTGTGGGAAATGAGTATAGTCTATAGCAGGCATGTCAAACTCAAAGCCATCTGTGAGCAGGTGCTTGATGCCTGTGCAGAGCAGCCATCCAGCCATGAGCATGCACACAGAGTGGTCCAGCTGGCCGTGAGCACGTGCTGGGCACCGTGTGCAGAGCGGCCAGCTGTGATCTGCACTCGGCCATGTGTTCCAAGCGGCCAGCAGGCCACACTTAATTCTTTTATAAAAATGTAGTGGCGGGGCTGCAAAAATTTTAGATCAGGCTATGTGCATCCTGCAGATGCCTGTTTGACATGCCCGGCCTGGCCTATAGCATTAACCTATAAGATGTTGCTTATCGGTTAATCGGCTATACTATTACATCTGTAGTGTAAGGTAGGAGGACAAAGAGGAGGACTGGCAATTTAAAAGGGCCTCGGGCTCTGGGCTGCTATTCTTATGACCTGTCCGCAGTGGCACCATTTCAGATTTGAATGAGGGAGGCAGCTTTAACCATGATTCCATTCCTGAGGCTATAAGCCACCTGAAAACTACTTTTTTTTTTAAACAGGTGATAACTGACAGGAACAGCGGTCCTAATTCTTATATGAAGAAAAAAATACAACAAATACCTATTAAAGAAATATTTTAAAGTCATATTTTAGTTGTACATTTAGAACAATCAGCAGCAAGATATTTTCATCCCACATCTTGACATTTCAGTTTTGGAGCCTTAATACAAGTTGAATACTTTGTATACCATCTTTAGTAGAGATAAATAAAATCTGTTTGTTTTATGGTACCAGCATGACAAGGGAGTTTCACATAATTGACCTAGTCCAAAGACCTTCTGGTCTAGCTTCTGCTGTGCCTTAACAAACAGCTCATGATGTTTGTAACTACTGCTAAAGAAGATATACAGTTCCTGGACAAATGCAAGGACTTCCTGACATTTAGTGATGTTGAAACATGTATCTGTAATAATAAGATTAAGTCTGTGAGCACGGGAGTGCAAATATACGGCATGTGTTATCCTCTCCTGTTTGTGATCTTGCACTACAGTTAAATGCCTACTATGCACAGAAGCTCCATCATAGCACTCAGCAACTGTGTGTGGGTAGGGGGTAGCTCAGGGTTCAGGGAAGGATTAGCTAGCATCTATGTGTGGCTAGACAGCTAGCTCAGGGAGAAGGCAGGTGGTAGCTAGGGGCTGTGAAAGTTGCTTTATGTTTGGAACTGAGTGAATGTTGTTTTAACAAACTATGAACATCTTTCAGTTTCTTAAACCCATGCTCAATGAATGTTCTATTGCTGAATTGTTCTCCTGGTCCAAGTTTGTTTTGAGAAGCAAAGTAATGGCACAGAAAGCAAAAAACAGAATATTTTACTACTCAGTATTCAGTGAAGGGGTACAAAAAAATTTCAGCTATAGTTGAAACACTGACCATTTGTATAAGGGTATTGTCAGGGCTGTTCCCCACTCTGGCACTCTGAGTGCTGAAGGTAGGGGCCTGCAAAGACCTTAAATATCTTTCCTCTATAGGCTTTGCTTTAAAAAAAAACAACTCCCCAGAGTCACAGATGCACTGGGTCTGAGAAAAAAAAACCAAATGCTGCCGCCATCAAGTGATTTCACCCTAAAAAACAGGAGGGAACACTTGAATTCCTTCCCTAGGTACCCCATGCTCTTTTACCCCAAAGAGCTTGAAAAAAAGAAAAGAGAGAAACAAGCTGCAGCCTCTGGTAGCTGACCGCTCAGTCTTAGGCAGGCAAATACACAAACAGACCCCTTGTTACTTTCAGGGACACAAGAATCAAATCATCACCTTAAAAAATGTGATTTCTATTAACAAACAGAAGATATAGTTGATAAAGCATACTGGATTGGTAGGTGTACAGAGCAACTAACTAAAACAAATTAAAACAGAGAAAATCTCTGGGAACAACTCTTAGATAATGAACGGGGGAGGGAAAGCATGGATTCACCCAGAGAAGTTTAAACCAAACAACCAAAATAAAGAAAAATACCCTGATTGAAACTAGATACATGCTCATGATACATGCTGATCTGTACTTCAAGGTCCAGTTCACTCCCATGTCCAATATTTTTATAAGCATGGTAATTCTGATCCCCGCATCTGCTCTTTCTAGCCCTTTTCTCAGAAATCCCCACAAAGGAAAAGCAGACCAGGTATCTATATCCAATTCAGATTTCAGCACTGTATCCCCATTGAATCTTCTGGCTCCCTGCCAGCACCCTTGAGTTTAACCCCTAAGTCACCAGTGCTGGCCAGCACTCCTCATATTCATCACAGGTATAAATTGTGTGGTGAAATATCTGTGGCTGTGAAGATTTTATTTTTCCTGTGATGAACAGGTAAACTTTGTTTAACACAATCTTCTGTGCCTGGCTGTTGATGTCAGAGCAGCAGGACATCCTCTGATAGCATAGTTGGTGGCGATGGATATACTGGAACATGGATCACTATCCAGTCTGTTTTTCTATGTTGAATGCAGGGCAGGGTTCCTTGAGGAATCATTTACACATTTCATTTTCAAGACTGCTACTTCATTGTCACAATTTTTGTTGGCGTCACCAAGGGTCTTTCTTTTTTAAAATGATAATATATTCCTCTGCTGTGATGGTCCAGGTGCCATTTGACTCTGGAAAAAGTTAACTTTTAAGCATAAAAACAAAATTATATAATAAGAATAGCGTATCTTTTATAATCATTAAATTAAATATATTTCTAAAGCAACCATGCAGTATCTTTCAACAAGACAGTGAATACTTGTGCAATTAATGAAACAAAAACATCAAACCACTATGAAAAAATAAAATGGTGGCTAACTGATTTTACTTTATTTCCTTCTTTTTTCAATTAAATGGAATGCTTAGAAATTATACTTCCTCTTACTTTGGCTTGGTTTAAAAAAAAAAGACCAAATAATGAGAGACAGTTTAAAAAAAAAACACTTACCAGAGAGGACAGAAATCCCTCTCTTCTCCCCGCCCCCAGCCCTCAGCCTCAGCACTGGACACCAGGGAGAGAGAGAGCCTTGGCAGGCAGTGCAGCCCCCACAACCCCCATCAACTTCAAGGAGTATCTTCTGGCCAGCCAGCACAACCCCCACCACTCCAGGCAGCACTAAGAAGCCACCACCACTGGCCAGCCAGCCCCCCACATCTGTCAGCCACCTAATTCATGCACCCCACACTTGTCCTGAGCCCACACAAGGACCTGAGCAATGCTGAATAAATCCTCTAGTTATGAATAAATAACTTAACTCAAATAAGTTTTGTTTTTCTTCATGTAAATCATCGTTTTGGTGTAGGACTGGGGATAATGGATTCTGTATGCAGGCTTCCCCAGGCAGAGAGGTCAACCCCAACACTCTGTCATCACAGCAGCTTGGGGCCAGGTGAGAAGCACCTGTCATAGAATCATAGGACTGGAAGGGACCTCGAGAGGTCATCGAGTCCAGCCCCCCACCCTCAAGGCAGGACCAAGCTCCGTCTACACCATCCCTGACAGATGTCTATCTAACCTGTTCTTAAATATCTCCATGGGGGGGGAGGACAGACAGACACACAGAAAAACACACTTTCTGAAATATATAGTAGATAGCTCTCCCTTTCTCCATCCCTGCCCTCTGCTGCCC